GCGATGATGGCGATGGAAGACGTCGGGGTGTTGGCGAGGCTGCTCAAGCACCACTGCCGCGTCGGCGCCGCCGCCTTCGACCCTTCCGACGCCAGCCTGAGCGCCGCAGCAGCCTCGTACCAAGCGCTGCGCATCCCGCGCGTGCGGACGATCCTCGGCTCATCCCACACGCTCGGCAAGACGCAGCAGCTGCGGGCGGACTCGTGGTGGTACAACCTGAAGCGCGAGTGGACGATCCGGCTGCAGGTGGCGCTGTACGACGCGGAGGGAGGAGAGAGGGAGAGAGCGAGAGACGGCGGGAGGGGGGAGGCAGACAGCAGTCCGCCTCGGAGGCAAAGTCGTAGCCTGCGCCGGGCTTCATGATGGGCAGCGTGCCGTACAGCGCCACCTGCAGCCGGATCGTCCACTCGCGCTTCAGGTTGTACCACCACGAGTCCGCCCGCAGCTGCTGCGTCTTGCCGAGCGTGTGGGATGAGCCGAGGATCGTCCGCACGCGCGGGATGCGCAGCGCTTGGTACGAGGCTGCTGCGGCGCTCAGGCTGGCGTCGGAAGGGTCGAAGGCGGCGGCGCCGACGCGGCAGTGGTGCTTGAGCAGCCTCGCCAACACCCCGACGTCTTCCATCGCCATCATCGCCCCCTGCCCGATGTAGGGCACCGGCGGGTGCGCAGCGTCTCCGAGCAGGATCACGCGCCCGGACGGCGTCGCCCACGCGTCGAGCGGCTCCCGCGCAAAGAGGCCGACCCGGATCACGTTCTCGGCGGAGCGGAGCGGCTCGACGAAGGACGCGTCCCACCCGTCCCCCTCCAGCTTGGCGGCCAGCTCGGAGCACTGCCGCAGCCCCTCATCGGCGGACAGGGCGCCCCACGCGTCGTCCGGCGTGTCTGCGGGGAAGTAGAGCTGGAAGATCTGCTCCCCGTCGCCGGTGGGGTAGTAGCAGGCGTGGTTCTTGGTCGTCGACGAGGAGGGGAAGCAGATCCCTCGCACCTTTGACGGCACCTTGGCCGCCCCCATCAGGCAAGTCACGCCCGTGAACTCTGCGCTGAGCGGCCCGACGACGGCCTCGCGCACCTTCGACTTGAGGCCGTCGGCGCCGATGACGAGGCGGGCGGTGCGGGTCGCCCCGCTGGCGAAGGCCACGTCGACCAGCCCGTCCTCCCGCGTCGTCACGCTCTCGGTGCGAGCCTTGAATGTGATTTGGACGCCGGCCGCCACGGCGGCGTCGTACAGCGCCTTTTGCAGCTTCCAGCGGCGAATGCCGATGCTCTGGAGGTCGTCCTCGTCGGTGAGCGCGCTCTCGCGCGCGCACGCAACCTCCGTCCCGTCGTGCCGCAGCCACCGCCGGTAGATGTAGTCGTAGCCCGCCTCACGCACGGCCGCGAGCAGCTCCGGAGAGATGTCGCGCAGCACGCGGAGCCCGTTGGCGTAGAGGCCGACGGCGCCGCCCGCGTTGTCAGTGAAGGCGGTCGCCTGCGGACGGGGCAGAGGCGGGGTGAGGGCCCCGAAGCCTCGCTCTGTGGGCTGGGTGGGCTTGCAAGGCGGGCTCGAGATTGCGGCGGCGGCGCCGCGCCTGCTCGTACACCTCGATGGAGGAGCCGTCGATGCCGCAGTGCTTCTGTAGCGCGAGCGCAAGCGTCAGGCCGCCGATGCCGGCGCCGGCGATGAGCACCGTGGCTGGTGTTTCCATATATCAAAGATAAGGCGCGTCGGCCGAGTCCCACGGCGCTTCGCACCGGGAGCTTGTCGAAGGAAGGGGGAACGAGGCCGCCCAGAGATGCAACGGCTGCCACTCCGGTCGCGGTCGCCGCAACTTTCACGCGCGACCTTTATCATCGTTGACCGCAGCGCCCATGTCGAAACGTGGGCTGGATGCGAGACTCCTTGCCCACCCGAATGCTCCCGAATGCTGCGCTGCGGTGCACCGTCCTCCCATCCCTCCCTTGGCTGTAGTCTGCTTTCTTTCAGCTTTCTTTCTTTCTCGCTAAAATTCTTTCTTTCTTTCTGCGGCGCTGTGTCGGCTGAGGTGGTTTCAGAGGATGTAAAGTGTAGAGCGCTGTAGAGCTGTAGAGCTCTACATCCGGCGCGTGACGTTGTAGAGCGATGTAGAGAGAGAGAAAGATTTTTGCTCTGGGGGGAGGCGGGGGCCCCCGCGCCCCGGAGGCACCGTGCGCCGCGCCGCAGTGCGGAGCGAACGGGGCCCCGGCTCTATTAGTCTCTATTAGCACCGGCTTCCCGAATGATTACGGTTGATTAGAGGGCAGATTCGGAGAGATCTCGAGGAGTACATGCAGATAGACCCTCCAATCATGAGAAAACTCCGACTTGATCGGTCGTACTGACCGCCGACAGATGTCAGATCGACGTCTGCACGCGGCCGGCCGGGCGAGACCGAGAGGCTTGACACGATCCGACCCTATTTTGCGCGGGTATACCTGCAAAAACCCAGGTATACCCGGGAAATACCCGCACTTTTGCATGGCTTCGCCTCCTGGGACCACACCCATAGCCGCTACACTAATCAACACTCCGCATACCACTTTCGCATACCACTATACCATACCACTTCAAAGACAACGTTAATCAAAATATCACCAAATACCGGTCTCATACCGGTAAAGTTCGAGCACTGCACGCACGCTGACGTGTCAGCGGGCTGCTACACGATCGAGTACGAAAAGAACACAACTGCCGCTCGGGGCTGCATTACCCCCCTGACGATGACGACGACCGCGGCGTCGTCGGCCGTGGCGGGGTGGTGCCGCGGCTGGGGCGCGCGCTGCGCAAGCGGCAAGGGCGACGACGTGTTTTACGAGGAGAGCAAATCTGGCGCACGGCTTCCTGCGGTCATCATCATGGTCGAGAGCCCCACTACCAACGATGAGGGGGGCCGGCCGGCCTGTCGTCGCGGTCCGCCAGACGACGGGCGCGATCCGTCTTTTATTATTTCTTCTTCTTCTGAGAGAGAGATTTTTATTAACCAACAAGCCAAATCACTGTGAGAGTCGTGATTTCTCTTCTTCTGTGCTCTGAGGAGAGGGAGAGAGATTTCTAAAAAGAAAGAAGAAGCCAAGCGAGAGGGATGGGAGGACGGCACGCCGCCACCACACAGGGATTTCAAGGAGAGGAGTGTTGTGGTGCTATGCAGTCGCCCACCCTCGGGCGTCTGCCTCTTCCCACATAAATTTCTTCTTTTCTCGGAGATCTCGGCGCCCCCCGCAAGTTCGGGGGGGCACGGATCAATTCCTGGTGCTAGCGCAAGGCAGGAACATTGGTTGTCGCAACCATCTCCTGTGTGCCCGCCTTTCTCAGGACACAGATGGTTCCAGCGTACGACTGTGGGGCTGGCGCCGACGACGCCGGCGGCTCGCCGCTCGCAGCGCAGCGGTGGTGGCTTGACTTCTGCCGAAAGTGCCCCGTCGGGCGCGGCCACGAGCCAAAGCTTGGCGGCGAGCTGTTCCCGTGGGCCCATGCTCGCGAGCCCGTCCACGGCTGCATCCAGGCGACGCTCTTGTTCGAGACGCTCGTCGTCTGGGGGCACGGCCAGCTGGTGGGGCGGTGGGGAGGGCCCCGGCACCCGTCCCTCCCCGACGGGGACGGCGCAGCGCCCACACTCGAGGAGGTGGGGGAGGTGTGGAATCGGACGCCGCAGCGGCAGCTGAGGGAGAAGCTGAGGTGGGCGCACGAACATCTCTCTGGCGCGCGACCATTTGCAGACCGCCGCAACCCGATCCTCCACTTTGTGCGCACGTACCTGACTTCTCACGCCGCCAGAGAGAGGCTGGTCGACCGGCTGCTAGATGACGACGAGGAGGGGGAGGACGCGGCGGGCCAGTACGAGGACGCGTCGCGGCGGCCCGGCGAGCCGTCGACCGACGCGAGGGCCGGCCGCGGCGGCACGCCCAGCACGCGCCCCCTCACGCCTCTCGACTCGTTTAGCGCTGTCGGCTTTGCAGAGCAGCTGCCCCCACTCGCGCGCGGCCTGCCCGGCAGCCCCTTCGCGGTGCTCTCGCCGGGCGGGCTCTCGCCGAGCCCGCCGGTGGCGCGTCCGCCGCCGCGCCCGCTGACGCAGCTGCTGCCGCGCCTCTCGCCGAGCCCGCCCGGCAGCCCGTTTGCCGTCAGGGCGAGCGCCTCGCCCGCTGCCCCCTGCTGCACCTCCCGCCAGCTCCCGCTCACTCCCCTGCCGCCGCCGCTGCCTCCCTCTGCGCCGCGTCCCTCTCCACTTCGCCTCGCCGCCGCCCCGCCTCGCTCCCTCCTCCTCACCGCCGCCCCTCCCTCGCCGCCTCACCACCGCCCTCCCCCCCCCCCCCCACACCAAGGTGCTCGCTTTGCATGTCCCCTCTCACCATGACGGCGCGCAAACGCCGCGCGCGGGCGGAGGCACCAAGGCGCGGCGCCGCGCTCGCGTGGCGCGGCGCGGCGAGCGCTCGCCCGACGCCATGTCGGGCGGCATGTCGAGCGCGAGCGGCATGTCCAGCAGCAGGGAGACTGCGCATCTGTCCTGCCACCGGGAGGGGCAGCAGCTGCCGCGCACGCCCTCGCCCTCCTTCTCGCCCTCGCCCTCCTTCTCGCACCCGCCCTCCTTCTCGCACCCGCCCTCGCACCCGCCCTCCTTCTCGCCCTCCTTCTCGACGCCAATGGCGGCGACGGCGTGGCCGGCGTGGCACCAGTCGCGCGCGGCGGCCTGGCAGCCTGCGCAGAGGTGCGCCGGCTTCGGCGGCGCCTACGAGGGCGCGTGATCGAGAGGGCGCGCGATGATGCGTCGAGGGCGCGTCGAGGGCGCCCACTGAGCCGCGGCAGGGAACGGGGCCGGGAGAGGAGGGCCCGGGGGAGGGAGGGATGCGCTCTCCGTCTGGGCGAGGCGGAAGGTTGGGGGGGGGGGGGGTTAGCTCCGCCTCTCCTTCAGCCTCGCGTACGGTGTTTCGCACGCGCTCGACGGTTAAAGTATTGAAAAGTACCTTAACCACTTGTGTGTTGTGAGGGGCGTTCGCGGTTCGGTGTTGTGAGTACGCTCTACGGTGACGGGTGTGACCGCAGTCCGCAGAGGCGCAGAGTCTGGGGCAGAGGGACCGCGGTCACGCGATGACACGAACGTAGAGCCACAAGATAGACGATCCAACAACCCCAACTTCACACGCCCCCGCGCCTCAGTGTAACACCGTATCCCCCCCCTCACACACCTATCACCTTGCAGCAGCTCAAGCGAGCCGTCCCGGTGCGGCAAAATTGATGCGGCCTGCAGGGACCGAAAGGTCGCCGACCTGATCACGGCTGCCGGCGTCTCGGCGCCGGCCGACGCCGTGTTCGGCGGCAGGTTCGCGACGGGCGAGACGCCCCGCTCGACGACCTCCGCCTCCGAGGCGGACGAGGGCGACGGCGTCGGCGGCGATGGCGGGACCAACATGCACTTCGACCTGTTCGAGCCGGACCGCACCCCCATGGAGGACCTCTGAGGCCCTCCCCAGTCTCACCCCACCTTACCTCTGCCCCCCCCTCCCCCCCTCCCTCTGCCTCCCATAGGGCAGGATAGCACTCGCATGTGCGCACTGGGCCCACACAGATGTGACCCGCCCACTCGAGTGCGGCGCCCGGATGCTAGTGCTTGAGAAGACACCACAAACGCGGCACGGCCCGTTTTGGCTGTCTGCGGAGAATCTGTCTTAGCACACACAGCTCACGGCTCACCTCCACGTGCACCCCACCGGGCAGTGCTTGCACTTTCGGAATGCCGTGGGGCTCCTCTACCCGTGTCCGGCCGGGGTCGGGTGTGGAGATGCGAGGCCGTCGGCGAGGGTCGCCCCCTCTTGCCCCACCACCTTGTGTGTGTGGAGAAATTTACCCTACCTTACCTTAAGCTGGACATTGTTGCCGAAAGAATCAGAGCACAACACACATGACTGTACGGCTTTACAACCCCCCCCCCCCCCGCGCTATGGGGCTACAGTATGGCGCGAAGCTCGATCCGAGACGGCGGGAGCATGCTTGCTACAGCGCGTGCTTCGTCACCTCATCTCGGACCCACTTCCGAAACCGCGCAGCATGGCCCACCTTCTTCCCGAAAACCTGCAGAGCAAGCTGAGAGAGGTGGTCGTCGCTCATCTCAGCGAAACGGCGCGGATCGGCAAAGCCGTGCTCTCGGAATGCCGTCTCGTAGCCGAACGTGTGGAGCCGCATCTCCTGGAGCACCACAAGTAGCTGCTGGTGCTGTTGGCCCTCCACCGCGGAAGCCTCCTCGTCTTCTTCCTCCTCCAGCGGCGCTGCCGAGACCGCCGCCGCCGCCGCCGCCGCCGCCGCTGCCGCTGCCGCCGACACTGCCGCCGCTGCCGCTACCGCCGCAATCGCCGCCCCCTGGCCTCTCTCCGGCGGCGCCGCCTCCTTGCCAGGCGGTGGTGTCGACCGCGGCGGCCTCCCCTCTTCGCACTCCTCTTCGTCGGCCTTCGTCTCGTCGCCCTCGCCGTCGCGACCGCCCGCAGCTCCGCCGACGGTCTCCGTCTCCTCGACATCCTGCCTACCTAGCGCCCGCACGCGCTTGATGGGCTTGCTGGTCTCGACCTCGCCGCCGTCGTACGCGACGTCCACCCACTGGCAGACGTCATTCCGGTGGACGGCCTGCACTGTCGCCGGGAACCAGAGCTCGTCGGCACCGGAGCCGAACTGCGCGAGGACGCGCGCCCCCGGCTCGCAGCGCCGCGTCGAAGACCAGAGCGCCGTGTGCCGCCCCGCCTGGTCAGTGTGCACTCCGCCCAGCTCCGACCCCGCTGGACGCGGCAGCCCGTCCGCTCGGTGCGCGCGGCTCGAGCGGCGGAGCCCCTCCGTGCTGGGCGCCGGCTCATCGGAGGGGGTCACGTCGGCGGGCACATCCTCCTCGCCCGCCTCAAGCGCGTCGGCCGGGGCGTCGCAGCCCTCCTCCTCGTGCACGAAGACGCAGAGGAACTGGTCGCTCGGCGCGGGCTCCTCCCGCACGCGACGCCACGCGCCGCAAAAGTCGCATTCCGCCCAGCAGCGCGAGAGCTGCGCCGGCCTCAGCAGCAGCCCGAAGTGAGCCGCAACCTCGGAGACAGAGCCAAACTCGCGCCCGTCGGGCGAGCGGAAGGTCGCGCTCGACGGAGCGAGCCGCAGCCCGAGGCAGCGGCGGTTGACGCAGCACTGCTTGGCGGTGCCGGGGCCGCCGTACTTGGTCATATCGCGGCACGCGGAGCACGCTCCGCAGTCGGGAGCCCTGCACGCGGCGCACTCCCGGCAGCGCTGGCGCCGAGCTGCAGCCCTGCAAAGCGCTGCGGCGCCCGCCGCTGACACACCGCAGGCGCCGCCCGCTCCGCTCGACTCGACGCCGCCCGCCGCGTCGGCGCCTCCGCCGCCGCCAGACAAGCTTGCGACTTCGGCCAGCTCTCGCCCCGCCAGGCCGTGCCGGTTCTCGCGGCCGCCCCGCCAGGCCTGCGGCACGGACTCCGCGTATTCGCCGTTGGGGCCGTAGAAGACGCGGTAGGTCCTCGCCGACCCCTGCCGCTCCTGCGCCACCCACCCCGGAGGCAAGGGCTGGCACCGCACGCCCACGACCTGTCCGCCCTGCTCTGCGGCCTTGCCCTGCCCGCCTGCCCGCCCGCACCCCAGCGCACCGTCCCGTGCGCCCGCCCCCTCGCCCGCCCCCTCGCCCGCCCCCTCGCCCGCCCCCTCGCCCGCCGATGGCCCACCCGTCTCCTGCCCGCGCGCTTCCCGCCCGCCCGCCTCCTGCCCAACTGCAGCCTGTCCGCCTGCAGCCTGTCCGCCTGCGGCCTGTCCGCCTGCAGCCTGTCCGCCTGCGGCCAGCCTCGTCGACACCTCGGCTGTCCACCCCGAAAGCAGCTCGTCGGCGTCTCCTCCGCGCTTCTCGACGTAGGAGCGGAGCCCGACCATGGCCTCCTCCTGGCAAACGACGGCGCGCAGCACCTCGTCGAGGACCAGCCGGACCTAGAGACGAGTCCCCGCCGTCGCCAGGACAGGCGCCAGGGCGCGTCGTCGGTCCATGGAGCGGCCCGGCCTCTTTCTCCTCGCCGCTGGCCGACTTCTTCTTCTTGAGCGGCGTCTGGAACTCGCCCATCTCCTGCTCGCCCTCGTCAAGAGGGCTCTGCGGCCGCGCGCACGCCGACTCGGCGCCCGCCGCGCCCTCCTCGTGCCCCGCCCTCGAGTCTTCCCTCGAGCAATACCACGGAGCGTCGTCCTGCAGCGCCGCCTGCGCCTCGGGCGTGAGGCGGCGCCACTTTCCGCACGCGTCGCACTGCACCCACGGGCTCTGCCGGGGCACGGGGGCGGCGGTGAGGGAGGGCGGCGGCGGTGAGGCGGCGGTGAGGGAGGTTGGCGGCGGGGGCGGGTGAGCAGAGCGGGCAGACCTTGGAGGCAGCGTGCCAGGGAAGGGGGGTGAGAGGCAGTGCCGTGGAGTGGAGTGGAGTGGAGTGGGAGGGGGAGAGTGGCACGGCGCCTCCTCGAAGCTTCCAGCGGCGCGCTTCCGCTTCGGAGGCGCCTCCAGGCCGAGCGCGCGCAGCACGTCGGGGCGCGAGGAGAACACCTTGGCTCCAAAGAGCTGAGGGTGCTGGAAGCGGACGCGCCATCGCCGCCCGCGATCGCTGGTCTGGACGAGGGAAGCCTTGCAAGTCCAGCCGCTACGCTGCTCGGCGGCGGCGCCAGAGTGCGCGAGGTAGTCCGCGAGGTCTCCGATCGACCGCGCCCGCACCGCCTGCACCTCCGCCTCCGCCGGCGCCTGCGCCCCTGTCACCGCATCCAATGCCTCCTCCGCTGGCTCTACCGGCCGATCGCGCGTCGCCTCCGCTTCGCCACTCCGCTGCCCGCCGCTTCGATGCCCGCTCTGCTGCCCCCCTTGCCGCTCACCGCTGCCGGCTGCGCGAGGGGCATGGCGAGGGGGGCGGGGCGGGGCGGCGAGTCGGGAGGTGAGTGGGGCGGTGGCGGCGGAGGTCTCCGCCCCCCCCTTCGCCGCCGCCGCCGCCGCCACCGCCTCCTCCTCAGGCTCCTCCTCCTCCTCCTCCTCAGGCGCCGCCTCCGCCGCCACATCGACCGCCCGCGCGTACGCCACCGCCGCCTCCACCGCCGTGTCGAAGAAGCCGAGGTGACAGGTCTCCCCGCCCGTATAGGTCTGCGCTCGGAAGCGGCCGGAGTTGCCCCTCTCCCCCTTTGACACGCCCTTGTAGCCGGTGCTGCTGCTGCTCGAGAGGTGCAGCCGCAAGCCCTCCGCCTCCGCCACCAGAGCCGCAGCCCCTGCCGCCTCCGCCTCCACCACCGCCGGGGCCGCAGCCTCTTCCGCCTCCGCCGCCTCATCCGCCTCAATCTCCATCTCGTCGTCGCTCGAGTCGGCCTGGCCGGCGCACTCCACCTGAGCTCGCTCACATCTGGCTTAGAGTCCCGCCCCTCGGTCACAGCTCGCGTAGAGTCCCGCCCCTCGGTCACATCTGGCTTAGAGTCCCGCCCCTCGGTCACAGCCCGGACAAAGCCCTGCCATCTCAGGTAATCTCGGCTAATCTCGGCTAATCTCGGCGGTATCTCCACCTCGAGGCCGGCGGGCGTGTTATCCGGCGCATTCACTTCCACCTCGACCTACTCACAGAAGAAAGTAACGATCGTGCTCCGGCTCAAGTGGTTCAGCCCCACTCCCGCCTCCGCCTCGCTCTCGCCGCCGCTCACGGCATCAGCGGCGGCAGCCCCGCCCTCTCCGGCGACCAGATCGTCGGGAGGCAGCAACGGTGAGATCTCGGGCGCGGGCGGTAGCGGCCCCGCCGGCTCCGTCACCTCCGACTCGGTGTGGTTCTCCGCCTCGCCCGCCTCGTCCGCCTCGATCTCTGCAGCCGCTCCAGCCGCCCCTCCGTATCCCTCACTTGCCTCCTCCGCCACCGCCACCTCCGCCGCCGTCACCTTTGCCTCCGTCTGTATCGGTGGTCCCTCCCCAGTGGCTTCACTAGACGTGCCGTGGTCTGGCGCAGAGACAGAGCTTGCGCCGCTCACGAGCGGCGGTGCCTCTGTTGTAAAAAACTCTTCGCCGCCGGAGACGACGATGCAATCGCCGTCGCGAACCTACCGTTCGCACCCCACAAATGGTGAGAGAGGTATGATGGTGTGGTAGTGTACGTTGGTTGCGCGCGCACCTCCTCAAGAGCTTCGATCTCGAACCCATCAGCGGTGAAGAGCCTCGTCGCGACAAACTGGCTCGCGTCGGTGGAGAGCTTGCTTCCGCATCGCTGCAGCATGAGAGCCCAGTTGTCGGCGACCAGCGCCACCTTTCCGCCCGTAGCATGACCGTTTCGCCGGATCTTGACACGGCGCAACATGCCCTTGAGGTGAGCAGGTCCTCACGCAGGGTACGCGTTGGAGAGCTCCAGCTGTGCCTCTGATTGCTCGCGCGAGCGCAACGAACGGTGTTTTTCTTTCGTTTCGGTATACCGCGCAAACGAACAAAGGTACACCACGGGAGCCGCCTAAGCGACACCTGCGACTCGGGGGCGGCGAGGCACTTGTCCGTGCACTCGACTAGTTGTTTCACGCGAAAACGGCGTTGACTCGCGCGAGGTTTCAAGCAAAAAGAATTTACCGTGGAACCGGGAATCCTGCCCCCCCCCCCCCCCCCACACGCTAGTCGTCGGGCGGCGATGACGCGCCATCGGCAGCCAAGCTGCTCCACGCCGCGGCGGATCAGCTCGTCCTCGTGCGGCGACCACTCCTTGCGCGGCAGCGCTGCCGCCTGCGTCTGCCTTTTCGCCGCCGCGAGGAGAGCATAGGACTGCACGGCGCTGCCAGACGCGGAGGCCTTGGCCTCTCGCGGCGATATTTGAGCGGCCGAGGGCCCGGCGGCGCGGGAGGGGGACTGCGCCGTGCCGCTGCTGAGGCCGAGCAGCACGGCGGCCGTGTCGGAGTGGTTCGAATCGGCCAGCATGGTGGGCCCGACAGAAACTTTATCGCGGGCGGTTCGGCGGGCTGAAATCGCCCGCTGTCCAGAGAGTCTCTTCGGCGTCCAGTTGGGACGACGAACTGCTTTTACGGAATACCAACTGTTACGTTCAATACGGGTACGATGCGTTTGGTATCTTTTGGCTGAGAACAGCGATTGCGAGAGAGAGAGAGAGAGAGATTTTCAGTGTATGTATGTGTACTTTTAGCTTACTGGGTGTCCACGCCGTCTCCGTCTCCCGGCCCGTTATGGGAGATGCCGAAAAACCAGAACTCACCAAACAGTTCAACGAGGGCTACAAAACTGACCTGGCTGAGCCAGGCGAGGCTCCCGGGGGCAAAGACGAGATCAGTGAGGTCAAACTTTGGACCCCCCTCCGGGGTGGCTTGCCCGTTGGGGTCGGCCGCGCCGACACCGGAGGCAACCCCGGCTCCGTTGGAGACAAGTTCGCCTTCGGCAACACCGAAGAGCGTGCCCGCCTTGCAAACATGGGCTGCAAGCAACGCGGGTTCCGTGGTCAACGGGCGTTCGACCACACCACCGGCCAAGGCTACGTCAAGTCACAGCGTGGCCACTACCATGATGGGATCTTCACCAAACGCAACAAGTTCAACCTGCTTCTCCACGAGACATTCGGCGGCGGCTTCTCGCCGCCAGCAGTTGCAAAGATCAACCGCCTTGCGCGCAAGGCTCAACGCTCGGGCGTTGACCGCACCGCGTACCCTCCCCACTCCCGCCTCTCATTTGTGTCACACCACGCGGAACGCGTGAGACGTTGCCGGATGTGAACGCATTTCCCCTCCTCTCTCGACCTTACTAAGTGAAATGTCCGCCTGCCTTTTCTCAAGATTTAAATACTAAAAAACCAAACCTCGGTGTCTGTTAGCTGTCGGACCTGTCACCCCTAGTAGGCTGTCGTGGATATTCACTTGCGCCACATAGGGCATCAACATCAAGAGAACTCATACCGACCCGCAATTACGCAATAACAGACGCCGAAATATGCCGTGCATGCTGGTAGGCGGTTTGTTGCTCGTGGACGTGGTCGGAACGAATATTGGGACCCGGGTCCCACTGGGACCCAGGCGCTCTCCTGCCGCTGGCGTGCTCCGCCGACCCCGACCGTCGGCGCTGCACGTGAGGCATAGCTACCCCAACGCCCTGCGAGCTTCCCCGCGCGCCCTGGGCGCCTCGGCGACCCCCCTCGCGAACCCTGTATTGTTACTTTTTTTAACAATAAAAAGGTACACAGCATGTGGCTGTTTGTGGTGCGACAGCTGTCGCTGCCTAGGTCGCTGCGAGCCGCTACGAGCTCGCGTACGCGGGTAGAATTACCGGCGGTGAGGTAGCTGCAGGCAGCGCGGGTTGGCGAGGCAGGCTGTCGCGTGTCGGAGAGGCTGGGGCATGGATCAATCAATCAAAGGACTCGTTGTTTCTCTCCCTCACCCAGATGCCAGAATGGGTGGGGGGGGTGGTGAATGAAGGGGGTGGCAGGGGCTTCTCTGATGCTCCACGCTGTTTGGTGTGTCTGGGAGGTGAGGGTAGGTGTGGGGGAGGTGTGGATGTGGAAAGCGTGCCCAAAGTTGAACGTAACAGTTGGTATTCCGTAAAAGCAGTTCGTCGTCCCAACTGGACGCCGAAGAGACTCTCTGGACAGCGGGCGATTTCAGCCCGCCGAACCGCCCGCGATAAAGTTTCTGTCGGGCCCACCATGCTGGCCGATTCGAACCACTCCGACACGGCCGCCGTGCTGCTCGGCCTCAGCAGCGGCACGGCGCAGTCCCCCTCCCGCGCCGCCGGGCCCTCGGCCGCTCAAATATCGCCGCGAGAGGCCAAGGCCTCCGCGTCTGGCAGCGCCGTGCAATCCTATGCTCTCCTCGCGGCGGCGAAAAGGCAGACGCAGGCGGCAGCGCTGCCGCGCAAGGAGTGGTCGCCGCACGAGGACGAGCTGATCCGCCGCGGCGTGGAGCAGCTTGGCTGCCGATGGCGCGTCATCGCCGCCCAGCTGCCTGGAAGGTCGGACGACGCCGTCCGCAACCGCTGGAGCAGGCTGCAAGACACAGCCAAGAGCAGGACGGGCGGGCGGGACGGGGGCGTCAAACGGAGCTGCGGTGCCAGCGCATCCGACGCCGGTGGTACAGAGGCCGACGCCACGGGCGCCGCCGCAACAAGTGCATCCGGCAGTGGGGGCAGTGGGGGCAGCAGCGCCGGTCCTGCTTCCGCCGACGGACCGACAAACGGTGGCGGAGGAGGCGGCACCGGCGGGGGTGGGCTGGCTCGGACCGCGGAGACGGCGGCCCTGAGCGTGCTGGTGGGGCGGCGAGGCAGCGGGGACGGCAGCGCGGCGCGGATCAAGTCCCCAGCGAGCAGTGGAGGCGGCGGCGGCGGAGGGAGCGGCAGCGGTTTCCGCAAGGAGAGGTCCTCTTGGACTCGGGCAGAGGACGACGTGATCGTGCAGGGGGTGTCGGAGCTGGGACACAAGTGGTTCGAGATCGCGCGGCGGCTGCCCGGCCGGACGGACCACGCGATTCGCAACCGCTGGTCGAGGCTGCAGGTGCCAACACGGCCTCCGGCGCATGCCTCCAGCGCACCCTCGCCCGCCTCCCATCCTCACCGCCTCCCATCACTGCCTCCATCCTCGCCTCCGCCTTCGCCGCCTCCACCCTCACCGCCGCCACCCTCGCCGCCGCCACCCTCACCGCCTCCACCCTCGCCGCCCTCCTCCCTCGCAACCTCCCTCTCCCCCACCCTCGCCTCAGTCCATCCTGCTGCAGCAAGAGGCACAACACGGCTACGGCTCCGCCGCACCGCAGCCCTCCCCTCACGGGCTGGGGCACGGCGCGGTCTTCATGGTGCCGAGCGGGATGGCGGCGCCCGGCGCGGCGCCTGGCATGGCGCCCGGCATCGCGCCCGGCATCGCCCCCGCCGGTTGCATGCCCGCCAGCCACACCGCCCCGTATGTCCTCTCGGGCGCGCCGCAGCCGCAGCCTTTTGCGCCACAGCCTCCCCCGCCGCTGACCACGGAGCAGCCGCACGCACCCGCCGCCGACGCCGGACCGCGTGGCCAGCCTGACCACGGCGCCGCCGCCGCTGCCCGGACCGTCGACGCGAAGCCATCTTGCGTCTTTGCCGCCGCCGCCGCCGCCGCGCAGCAGCAGCAGCTGCAGCAGCAGCAGCAGCAGCGGCAGCAGCAGCAGCAAGTATTCGGCAGCGGAGGGAGGCGGAGGGAGGAGGCGGAGCTGCCGCCAGACGCGTCTCCGCCGCCGACGATGGAGTACTCCTCCACCGAGCACTCCCCCCCCCGCTCCCACGCCCTCGATGACTCCGCGCTGTTGCTCGGCGTCTCCGGAGGCGCGGCGCCATCTCCCCGACCCGACACACACACACACGCACACACACACACACGCACACACACACACACATGCGTGGGAGGGGTGCCTCTGAACCCCCTTCCTGCCCCGACCCCTCCGCAGGCATCCGCCGCGCGGGCCCGCCCCCCTCCTCCCCTGCGACGGGGTCGGGGGAGGAGCTGTCGCCGCCGCCGAGCGCTGCGTCGCCGACAGGTCCGCCCCCCTCGCAAAAGATCGGCTTCCGCGCGCCCGCCACCTCGCCGCGCGCGGAGGAGGCTGCGCAGAGCGGGCTGCCCGAGGGGAGTGCCGAGTTGCTGCTGCTGTGCAAGCGGGCGCGCGTCGGTGACGCGTCGGCAAAGATAGCCGAGTGAAGCGGCGGAGGCGCCGCTCGAGGGTTTGGGGGAAGTGGAGGGGAGTGGACAGGGTGGGGGAGGGGGGGAGCTGCCGCCGTGCGAGCCTCCGTCGAGAGCGGCGGCGGCACGGCGGCGGGTGGGGCGCCAGTGGCGGGCCGGAGGGCGGAGAGGCCGAGCTGGCAGCGCCTTGGTGGCACGTTCGTTGGTGCGGGGGCTAAATGTACCTTGTGCAGGCGCGGCGTGGCGGGAGGGTCCGTCGCGTGGGGTGGGGACGTCTGGAATTTGTCTCTGCGAGGATCTGGTTGGCTAGGTGAGCGTCTTGAGGGTGGGGGAGTGGAGCGACGGTCCAGCGGGGTGCGTCCGCTGTGTCCATGACTGGTCTCTCTCTCGTTGCATTCTCTCTCTCTGTCCGTGTGTGTGGTGGGTGCTCGTTCGCGCGAACACCTGTGCGATCTCCGACCTGTGCATGCCTCTCCTCATCAGCAACGAGCATTTGTTATGCACTGTGTTAATACACCACACCCGCGGCACAGTCACAGAGAACTGTGTGTGAATATACCGGGAGCTGAAAGACCCCCCGGCCCCGCCATTACAGCCGGCAAAAGAGTGAGTGCAACTGCAAGAGCTGCAACGATGAACGATATCGATAAACGATCAACGAACCCGAGTCGCGAGTGCGTTACGCCTCGCGCGTCGCGCGGCCCTCAGCCCCTCGCACCGCCACTCCGCCACTTTAACCCCTAAACGGCGTTCCTTTACATATGTAAAGGAACTCATTGTTACAGTGGGTTGCGGGCATTAAGAAAACGTCGCATTAAGAAACCCTACCAAGAGATTTCCGCAAAAATCTAAGAAACCACGGCGCGCCGCAGGCGCGGCCCCGAGAAAAGGCCAGACACGAGTCTCGAGTGTGAACGGGAGCCCCAGCTCAAAATTTCTCTTCGCCTGCGGCGCGCGCACTTGTCACTTTCCAAGTCTACGGTGTTCTGAGTGGAGTGGAGATGGAGGCGTGTGTGCGTCTTCCCGTCATCCAGAGAGCCGACTCGGCGGCAGACTCTGGCATCGCCCTCGCGGACCGCAGCTTACCTCTGACCTAAAATCCTTAGGGGGCCGGCTCTGGCCTGAGTGCCGGCCGGAGCTAAGAAACCACGGCGTGGGGTGGGTGAGGGCTGTGGAAAGGCTTAGAAACGGCGGCGTGCCGCCGAATCCTGTTTTCTAATCAACACTGTATTTTATTCCTTGGCAGGACGGCTGGTCGGAGCGACGGCCGAGCCAGCAGTCG